ACAACTTCTTGTAACATGCAAATTAATTTCTCTCACGTCCTTACCTTTTATCAACGTCGATCGACTTTGATAAAATTGATAAAACAAACATGCTAATACACTATATATATATATATATATATATATATATATATATATCTGTATGTATGTGTATTTGGGTGTGTGTTTGTATGTGTTTGTTTGCGTGTTTGTGTGTGTGTGTGTGTGGTGTGTGTGGGTGTGTGTGTGTGTCTGGGTGGATGGGTCTACTTTATTTATTCATATACACACCTACGATGTTTATAAAATAATTTATATTTTCAACCAAATTTTGCAGCTTGAAAATCTATGAATGAAATTCAAACAAAAAACAGTTTTCCACCATTTTTTTCTAGTCAAAAAACGAAAATTAAAAGAAATTTTCCTTTCCCCACGATCTAAAAATATTCAATTTTCTGTCAGAATTAAAATTTGAAGGTGTTCTGTTTTTATTACGTAACAAATAATTAAATGAATAATATTAAAAAAGTTGTCTTCACGATTCTATAATTTATTGAATTTTTTTTATTCTTTTTCTTCTTGATTAAATTTTGTTACCTTTCAAAGCAGTAGCTTATAAATGAAATTAACTGCATTCCTTAAACTGCACACCTACCTTATCATTAACACAGTTAAAAATGTTGATAAGGTAAACTGTAGTCATCTGAAATTATCATCGTCTTGGTCAACTGATATTATCTAATACATACCAAAATATCCATTTTTGTAAATAATTTGGTTTTAATTAGGTATAATAAATAAAATTCAGTACAGTAAGTAGATGTGTTATTTAATCTATAAATTGTGTTATAAAATATATTTTATTTGCTGTTATTTTTTTGTTTTTATATGGTTCCAAACAAAATACGGTCTCACGTTTTTTTGAAAGATGCTAAAACTACTAACATGCAAGTCGTAAATGGATTGCATTCAAGACTGGACATTTGTATGGTAAACGCAGAGAAGTATCAACGTCATTGGAAAACTGAAGAGTGTTTCAACTCTTCATAAATGCGATCTACCATGCCACATTTTTCATTTCAAATGTCATTGAATTAATGACAAAATTTTTGTAACTCAAATTTATATTACGTACTATATGACTTAACAAAAAATGGCATATAATACTTTTTATTTGGTTATGTTATAGATTAGGTTTAGGGTTGTGTTATAGTGCATTTGTTGTAGGTCATTAGAGAATAAGCAGAACTTTGAACGCTGCTTTTGAAGTGACTTGTTAATAGTGGTTCAGGAATTTCAGGGTTTAAAGTCTGTTTGCGCGTTCCTGTTTGAATTTATGGATCTGCCCGTTCGTTAGGCTCTCAGATTTAATTGAATTTTTTAAATTATTCTTATCGATAATATTATTTGTGAAATTTAATGTTAATTTTGCAAACATGCTTAAAAGGTATTTTCAGTATTATTGTTTTTTTGTTTATAAAAATATCATTATTTGGCTTCGGTTATGTTTTTAGTTTCCACAAAAGTTAAAGATATCAGTTGAAGTAAATAGTTATTCATGTTTAGTTTCAGTTTTTCGTTACTATAGATGGTTTTAAAATAAAAAAGTTGCGCCTTTATGTTTGTGTGCAATAATTTTTTTAAAACCTGGGTATTATGAGTCTGGAGTAATACAATGTTGGCAAAAGAACGGTTCACTCAAATGTCCACCAAAGATATGAACTGTATAAGTTGTTGTTCTCCAAGTGTTGTGATATAATTTTTGTTGTTGTTTCTTTCAACGCACTGCAAGAGTAACTCTGCCGTTGGATAACTTTTATTTTATTGCATACGTTACTGTGGTTCATCTGAGTATGAAGTCTGCTGTACATGATACATTCCCACGTTGGCGCGTGCAACGGTTTTATTATTTTAATTATAGTAGTCTCAATCACATTTCTTGTCTAGGGGGGAATTTGTGTTTTTATAAAACTTTGTTTTGCTGAACCATATATTTGTTTGGGTTCATTAAATTTCAGTTGTTTCTAAAAAAAAAGTAAAAAATAGAATTTGAATTTGACATTCTGAATCTGATGTTTAACAATTTTTCATTATTCAGCCTAAAGCGTATCCTGGATCCAACAAATTTTATTTGCTGGCTAGTTAAAGATTAGTTTGTTAATGCTGAGCGAAGTTGAAATGAAGTAGATGAATTCAATTTTTTTATTTTCGAGTTAATGACTTTTTCATTTTTTTTCAAAAATTCTTAAACAAAGTAGAAAATTGCGATTGCTTTTTTGAGAACATTGCCACGTAGAGTGGTCTTTAATTGTTTGAAAACTCAATTGAAAAACTTTCTGAAGAACTTAATTTTTTCAATGTGCTAAGTGCTTCACACACAACTATATAAATATACACGATCAGAGAATTTAAATAGATATAACATATACTTATGTATTAAATAGAAACGTTTAGAAAGTGTAGCCAGGGCGTGTTTTGAAGATAAAGACTTCTACCAAAAATATTTTGTTGAAGTTTTTTTTAAATTTCAAACCTTTTTCGAAAACTTCTAAAATTTTCATTTCATAATGTAATTTAATGCAAGCAAATTAATAAGGTGGATGAACTGAAAAAGAGTTATTCACCATTTGCAAGGCTTTCAAGTCGGTCAAAGGAAAAAAGTTCAGCTCGCTTTTAAAGAGTAAATTTTGTTGGTGATGTATTAAATAGCAAAATAACGAAATGAAAATAATCATAGAATTTATTTGTAATTCATCATTCCAACAAAATGTTTTCCAGATAGGCTCCTAAGTCCTACACTTGGTTACTAATAACAAAAGCTCAAATTTTCATTTCAAAATGTACACTGCATAAAAATCAAATGGACAAATAGGTGGTTAAATAAACAACAAACAAATCAATAATTTGAAACTAAATGAAAACTTCTTATATTGCCTTTTCAATGGGCCATCATTAAACTCTTGTTTAATGTTTAGTCTCTAGTAACGAGGGGTGATATGGAATAAACGAACAATTCGTAATGGCTTTTGACGTGTGAAACAATGAAGCAACGCTCTTTTTGTATAATGATAATTGTATATGACTGCAGCCTGTGTTGTTGGGTTACATTAAAATGGTGAATGTTGTTTTGAGCGTATAAAAGCTATAAAAAGCGCCGTAAAATTCTAATTTTGTTTTTGACGGAAACTGTGTTAACGACCAATAAACGAAAGTTGTTGCACTTAAAGCACATGTGGATGAATATGTTTATACATTTGAAATGCATTAAATTATCATAATTTAACCATATATTGAATTAGTTACACAGAAATTTGACATTTTAAAAGAGAGTCTGTTATGACATAACTTGTCAAATTAATCCTTCATATAATGGCCATTCCTCTGTTATGCATTCGATATGCCACAAAAACAACAACAAATACATTAAACCAGGTATGTGTGCGTATGATAGCTGATCATTTTTATTCAAAACAAACCTCAAAAGCGTTGGCATATTCTGCTGAATTGCTTTAGACAAATTATTCTGTTTATTTCTTTTCTGATAAAACAATGAAAACAAAATTAATCATTTCATACACGCAAGTTCAGAGTTGATTGATAACATGCGATATTCAATTATCTCCATGAAGGCTTTTCATCGGTTTTCTGTGAAGCTCTCGTAAGCTGCCTGCGCTAAGAAGAAATTATTCTACTTCTACACGTGCTATCAGTCCATCAGTACAAAATAATCTTTACAAAGTTTTTGTAATATGCTTAAATCAAAATGATTATCAGTCATTTTACCATTTCTGGAAATATTTCAGTTAAATAAAAAAGTGCGCTAAAGATATTTCGGAAAAGTTGGCAAACATTTTATAAACCGAGCCATAGTTTTAAATAATCAAATATTCTAGCATGAATTGATGCGTAGTGAAAATTATGTGTAGAGAGAAGTTAACATACCCATAAACTTATAACTTATAACTCAGCGGCTCTTTTTTTGTCAAACGCTATGCAAATACAAATTGTTTTCCTCTTTCCAAAACTGGGTATCTGCGGCAGTGCAAGCAACAAATTAATTTGACACAATGTTTTTTAAACGTAAGACAACTGTGTTTTTTAAATGAAGAAAATACTTTTTACATGTTAATATTTTAATACTGCTTGAAGTTACTTATAAATAAAAGCAATCGACAAAAAATAATTACCATTTATTCTTCGGCAGCTACCCATCTCCTGCTTAGAAATTCATAAATATGGACATAGAGATTTTAATAATACAGAACGAACCTGCACAAATATTTATGCATGTATTAGACTAAACAATACCAAACCAAAATAAGAAGAAACGCAAAAATTCTTTAAAAACACATTTTCTAAAATAAACTAGCAAGACAACTCAGTGCATAGTGCTCATGAAACACGTGACCAAAAGCATGTCAATCATAAAAATCAGGCAACATTATTGAGTATGTTAAAAATTTGAAAATGACATTCAGAGAAGAACGACATCAATCATGGCAACTCTATTACAATCAGCTTGTACTAGCACGGCCTGCGTATCAATTTTTGTGGGGCACGTTCCTTCGCATATTTCAGTCTATCTTGTAAGCAAGGTTTCCTTATCTTGTACACATCAAAATGTTTAACGATGTTTTACAAGATTTTATAGTTTATAGAACAATGCTTCATATAGTTTCACGTAATTTACATCATCATCTTCGTTCAAATTGATTTTAAACCACTTTTACATTAAAGAGAAGTGTTTTTTATTCGTTTTACAATCATTTTACTTAAAATTAAACAAATAACGGCTAATTTTTATGGTTTGTCCTTAATTATATTTTATACTGAAAAATAAAATGTTTTCTATTGTCAAACACGTGCACTTTAAATAAAATTTCTGAAACTTGATCAGGATAAATTTTTTGATGTACAATGAATCAAAAAGCGTTGAAAACATCATTTTTTAATAAAATAATTGTTGAAGATTAAAAGTTACGGCGATAAATTACAAAAAAAGAACAAAAAAAAAACAGAACACCAACCTCCCTTCGATGTATTCAAGTTGAATGTTTTCAAAAATCAAGGCAACCTGTCGGTAGGTTGAAAAAAAATCAAATTTTCAAATTAAAAAAAACACACAGCAACTCATGAAAATTTGAAAAGTACCACTGAAGACTCAATCAGTGTCGGATCTAGCGAGCCGGGTTGGAGCCTGTGGCCAGCTTAATTCCGGCCACACTGACAAACATTTCGTTAATTGCCTAGTCCTCAGTCAAGCTTTCCAATATCAACATTTTAAAAATTTGGTCTAGATCCGTCACTGAACTCAACGCTCATCAATCACAAAAATCTTATCCTCAACAAAAGATTCAAACTGAATTCATCGAACCGCATAAAAAAATAACAACAGTAAGACAAAAACTACAGAAAAGCTGGCTGACAATGAACAAAGAACAACAACAAGAGCATAAACCCCAATAAGACATCAGAAACAAGAAGGAAAGCACTAAAGAATGCTTAACAAACATCGGCCTAACATCCGCTACACACGTGAATATTAAAGCTAACATAATTGTATCTGAGATTTATTAGTTGCTAACATAGAACGCGCACATGAATATATAAATAAACAAGACACAATCGCGCGAAACAACAAAAAATAAAGAACGTGACACAGACGTAAAAGGCATAAACATCTAAAAATTAATGCACGTATGCATGTAGACATAAAATAATAAGTGTGCTTGCATATTCGGAGCATGCAGGCGTGCCAGCCAGCCTGAGTTACATGAGTAATTTTTAACTTGTATCTCGTACATCTAATGTGCAGTACGTACGTAAGAATATCTTCCATACAATTGTTTCTATATTTTAAGCTAGACAAACGCTTATTGTGTTGTCGCATGTATCATGATTCGCATGCATCTCGTGAAAAAGTAAGTCACGTGAACAAATTAGCCGAGAAAATAACTTTAATTTTAATTTCATAATTCGGAAAAAATTAACTGTTTGAAATTTTTTAGTTTCAAGTTTAACTTTTAGCTAGACCAAAGCTACGGTTGGAGATCTCGAATTATAATTTTGCAATTTATTTGAGTGCAAATCATTCTGTTAATATGCATGGCTAAACAATTATTTGAACGTTTATTTGATTAAATATAATATAATGTCATTTTGAGTGTCGTATGCAAAAGTCTTTCGATCAATACCCCAGGTTTTTAAATTAAAACATGTCACAATCTTTATACACGTGTATGCATTAAGACAAGTACATAGTACAATAGTAAACTTAGTTCAACCGTTATAATAGTTTCTGCAATATTATTTTCCTGAATTTCAATAAAGATTGCCTATCAGTGTTAAATGGCAGTAAAACTGCATAAGAAGAAGAAGAAGAATTCAAATGATCATTCTTAATATGATACTTAAATGAATTGCGATAACTGACTAAGACTTTTAAATGCATTATAAATTTATCAGGAACCAACCTTTTCGTATGGTTTGGCATGAAAATAATATTTACAATTGGAGTTCGGTGGGTAGTTTTGGGGATACTTGGGGCTGAAGAACTGACCTCTTGACCTTCGTTCGCTGCTGAAGTCGTATGTACAACTGCTGCCCCACTGCAACGAGCTGCCAGTAGTCGTGAACTGACCTGTTTTTTTTATTTGTTTTACATCACGTTATTTTATGAACTCATTTACTGTAGGAAGATTGGTGTTAGTCAGCTAAAATGTTCTTTTTCGGCAGGTAACGCAAATTATAAGATCTAATTTGTGTGACAATAATGACTATTTGCACCTAAATGAATTTGAAATCAAATGACTTTCACAACCGCCATTACCAAGAGGTTCTAATTAAAAAAAACATTTTAGCATTTTTAAATTGTCATTGCTAACATAACGTCAACCATAAAAACGCATTCAAACCGGATGGCAACTAACTCTTATCAAGGAATCTAAAAGTGCCTTTGAAGCCAGTGTTGTTCATCTGGAGGTTGTCACTGCGGAACTCCAAGATGAGGAATGCTGACGACGAGTAGTGACGAGCACCAACCACACTCATGTTGCCGCAACGTTCGTACGACCACACGTCGCGTTCGTTTATGTGAGGCTGCTTCAAGTCGAGGAAGAATCGCAGAAAGTCGCTGCATTTGCTGCATGTGTCGGAAAATTTGAGGAAAATGTGGTTAATGTAAACGACAGTAAAGCTGGACGTGCTCATGTGGACGATGATACGATAATGTTAATGAAATGATGACGTTGATTTAATTATTTTAAAAATAATAAAACAAATCACTGCCCTAAAACTTTGTCAGCATGAAAACATTTTTAGCATCCATACAACAAAAAGTTTAAACAACTTGCATACAATTTTAAATTGTATGTATTTGTATGTAACAAAAATTGTATGTATTTGTATGTAACAAAAATTGTATGTATTCCATGAACGATTGAAGAAACAAACCTGCCATGGATAGGAAACTGTACATCAACCTCGTGGAAGTTCAACTCGACGATGTCATCTTTGTAGCCAATGAAGGTGTAGAGGATGCAGTTGATGAAGGAGGGGTAAGAGTTGGGGTGGTTGGGTGAGTTGAAGAACCCTTTCTGCTGGGTAGACGTCTTTCGCATCGTCACACATTCACAGGCTGGTGGTTGGGATAAAATTTCCATAAAGCAATTAAATACCCACTAACGGTAAAAATGGTAATTAAACATGAGCAAAATTATAATTAATAATTAAATAAACATTAAATAATTAAATATTCCCATTTAATAAATTAGGATAAGTAATTATATCAAAAAACTAATATTTAAATAAAATGTGAACAAATATTAATTCACAATTATTTTTAAAATATGATAATAACGTAATTATAACTAAAAAACTTTTTATTTTCAGTCAAGAGTTTACACTGGAAAAGTTATATATTGATTATTAATGATGACCTGAGTTATAATGTTTCCAGCTAATTCTTCCATGATGACGGTAGTGTGTATGAATGTGTGTGTGTGTGTGTATGAATGTGTGTGTGTGTGTGTGTGTGTGTGTGTGTGTGTGTGTGTGTGTGGGTGTGTGTGTGTGTGAATGTGTGTGTCTCAGTCAGTCAGTCAGCATATGGTTATGACGCAATGATACGATGGTGATAATGACAATTTTAAAAATGATGAAGATGATAATGTTGATTGTTGATCTTAGAAGTAATTCTTGAGATAATGATGAGAATGATTATCATCCAGATAAAAAAAAGCTATGAAGATGACACTATGCGGTGGATTGGACGATGATAAGGATATTGAATTGATTCTAAAGAGAGAAGCTGATGGTGTAATAGTAACGTGTCATGCACTGATATTGCAGTCAGTGGATTCGATTTCGAACAGCGGACTGCAAACATGCAATATGTGTAATGCATTTTTTCACATGTATTCATTTATGATATATGTCTGTTGTTGATGCTTCCAAAAAAATGATCAAAAAGAAGAATGAAATAAAATAATTTAATAGATAAATAAAAATAAACAAAAATAATAATTCAGAAGATGATGAAAGTAAAAATAATGGTTGGAATGATGATCGATAGAAAGGTTAACCATCATTGATAAATGATGTATTTAATTGACATATGGGGCTAAAGTTTAAAAAAACTGAAAGATATTTTAATGTTGAATAATGATGACGAATGGAAGGAGTGGATAAATAATTAAATTATAAACTGGAAAGAGCCATCAACTCAGCGGGTACGCGCGCTGGTTCCCCATTACTTTACTGATTTTTGAGAGGTATGTGTGTACGTATATGTTTGTGTGCATGTGTGTGCGTGCGTGTGTGTTTGTGTGTGTGTGTGTTTGTGTTTGTGTGTGTGTAATCATCGAACGTACATATGTTCTTTTATTAGCTTTGATAAACATGGCAACGATGTTGAAACGACGTTTTGATAACATTTGTAGTAGCAATGATGAAAAATAATAACAATTATTATATTAACAATAGTATTAGTTAATATGGGCCTCACATAAAGGAAACCCAATCCAAATTTCGACCTGTCGGCTAGCAACTGCAATCATGAAGGAGGTTTAATTCATGGTCTCCTAAATAATATCCTACTATTATTTAGGAGTCTATGATTAATTAAATCAGTTAAAGTTTCAATGCCGTATAATTATTAGACAGAGTTGTGTAAAATAAAACTAATCACAGTTTTATTTCTTTTCAGTTAGTCGCTCCTACCTTCAATTTCAATATCCATTTTGGCGTAAAAAATCCGTTTATTCCATTTTTTAATTCTTTTTTTTAAATATCAAAATAGTAAAAAAATTTTCGAATTGCTAGTTGCATTTTTATTTATTCAACTGACTTTCGTTTTTTTTTAAATTTGAAACTTAGAGACAAATGAGTTTGTTTTAGTGACTGACCGCAGAATAAATAGACTTCTAGGGTTCTTACAACTTAAATGAATACAATTCATTCTTTTTACTTAAAATGACATTTCATCTATCTTCTATTTTTCACTAAAGAAAAAATGTTTTTTTTCAAATTTCCATCTACCATCTACTACACTGTAATATTTAATCCGATGTTATAAAACAATTTCCGCTGATAAATTTTATAAAACAACCTCCTTGAAAATTATCAAAAGTAACATTAGAATGGTCAGGACGTCACTATAGCTATGAACGTTGTTAGCCGCTAATTAACGTTAATATATGATTGAAAGAACTGTGGCCGCGTAATTTATTGATATTATAGAATATAACTGCAATTGTTTAGCAATGGTTTTGATTAAAAAAAGGACAAAGATAAATAAAACAAAGATAAATAAAATAATAATAAATGAAACAAAGGTAAATAAATAAAAAGAAAAATAGATAAACTTCAGGACGGTGAATGACGACCTCACTAACTTCATTTATGCCGACAAGCCTCAGTGGCAGAGCTCAAATACGAATGAATAAATGAGTGAACGAATGAAAGTATCAAATAAAATTTCGAATAAAATTTGTAACAGTACTTGCCCTTAACGCTTAATTGATTCTGGGAGTTTCTAAGAAAGGAGAATAAATAGGAATAAAGAGAAATAGAAAGAGAGCGAAAATGAGAGAGAAAGAGAGAGAGAGAGAGAAGATGTGGTACAGTTTGACAACAATTAAGCCGTTAAACTGAGTTCGACTTAATTACTGTTTGTTTGTTGATAGATGAAACTCAGGGCTGTATCGTTGGCATTTAATGATTTATATATTTACCTCATCTGTATTCCATTTATTTCGTGTTTTGGTTTGTTTATTATTTTATTTTTTAAATTCAGAACGCATTTTGTAGAGCAAAGTTAACTCTGATCGACATTCAAGTAGACATTGTAACTGAATATTTTTTTTATTTTAGCCGCAATGAATTATGCAATTGAATGTGATTTGTTCCTTTAAAGTTAAACTTTATTATATTAAAATCAAAGCATGCAAACAACCGACAAATGTATTATACAAAAACCTTTTTTGAAAAACTTTTTTGAAAAACATTTCAAAAGTTGCAAGAAACTTTTGTAGAAAATCTATTGAAAAACTTGTTGATGCAAAATCTTGTTTGACATGCAAACTCTATCTAGCATTGCACGATCTGTGTACTTGACAAAAAAATCATTCGACAACACGAGTAGGTCATCTCTGAAACACACCTAAAAAAAATTTAGCTAATTTATTTTATGGAAGTATACAACAAAGTTTGTATTCAAAATTTAACATTGATGTATAACAGCTTCAAAATCTGCCTAATATATTCATTGAAGGAGTACGTAATGAAAAGCCAAAAAAGTTTATTGTCAGACTTCAAAAGGCTATTCATTAAATTTTTACATCAAAAAACAACAGAAGACCCCTGTGCCAGGAAATTTTTTATTCTTCAAAATAATTATCTTAAAAGAAAACAGCAGCGAATACTGTTTTTCATTTTACTTCCTGCTTATTATATTTGTTCATTTGAAGTTTATTCTCAAAAGTTAACAATAGTTTCAAATTTTTTTGCGACAGTTAAGCAGCATATTATTTTTTCCAAAATCATCGCTCAGTTCAAAAGAAATTTAAATTAAAAACAATTTCATATTTTTTGCAAAACTTTATTTATTTTTACGCTTTGCTAAGTTTGAAATTTAAAATTCAACAACAAAACTTAATTTGATGAACCTATTATTTTCGATCGGTGGAGTTTTTTAACACTTTGAATAATTCAGAAAGAGTCTAATATAGGAAGCATTCGAGATAGATGTTGTTCATCACACTGAACAACATGTTCAGTGTGATGAAACCAGCAACCATCTCCACCGACAACAATAACAATTGAGATAGATTGCCACTTGGTTACTTTAATCGCTTTGGATGGGATGATAATATTGAATACACCGGGCACCAATTTTTCAAGTAGAAGATGAACCCTCCAAGGTCAAAGTTGAAAGTCCATTAAAACTTTAATTACTTGCAGCTCGCAAACTTCATGTACGTACTTAACTGCAACGAAACTGCGACATGAAAATTTTAAAAGAAATTTCGTATCAAATTGGTTTAGTTGAACTTTAAGGTCCTCTATCATAATAACATTACCGAACATTACCTACTGC